TGAGAAAAGTCTCACTTACTCTTTAGCTTTCATCGAGTTCTTGTCCTTGACAGTATGTACAAAAGATCTTGCTTTTAAAAACTCGCTATATGCACTCTTACAAATGCATAATCAAAATGTGATGCTTGTAAATATCTTCAATCAATGCTTGACACTAGAGTTTAAATACTCTTGCTACCAAGTTCGGATGAACTTTGAATCTTTGTTTTAGAAGGAGTGCATTTGAGATCTTTAGCCACTATAGATTTGTAGTCATTATATCAAATATATGTAGATATTGAAACTATTAAATAATAGCAATAGAATCTGAAAAAATTTCAAATAATTTTTTTATACTTTTAATATGTGTTACAAACATCTATATTTATTTTAATATTTATTTTAAATAATATAAATAGATAAAACTAGAAAAATTTGATAAAATCTTCTACAAAAGTTTTCAACCTCCCAATATATATATATATATATATATATATATAGATGCGAATTCATCTTTATAATCGTAATAGTAATTTTAATTTTTTTAAAATATACGTATATATTTATTTTATTTTTTTCATATTTTTTAAAAAAATGATTCATTTATTTATTTGTATTAATTGAGTTCCTATCCTTAACAATATGAAACAATAAAAGAATTAACTTTTGTTTTAGATTTTGTATGTCAACTTCTTGATTTTGCATATCTCCAAAAATATTTGCCAATCTTTGATATACATTTGGACATAACATATCTTGATTTATAGTAAAATATCTTAATAAATTCTGCTTTATTAATGTCCAAGCATCAATAATAAAATCTTGTAGCAATTTTTCATCTCATAAGATAATTAAATACTTATTATATTGTAAAAAAACTTCATATGAATAAAACTATATTTGAGTAATACATGCAATCCACATATTTTTATGTCTATCTTCATTGGTATTCACGTTTCTATATTTCATTTGATCATGCCATTTCAATTCTTCTTATGAGAAAAAAATAATATAATGGAGTGATAAGTATGTAAGATGTCTTTCATGAGTTTTTTGCAATGCACCTTCTCTTTATCAAACAACTATATCTCTCATTTCTATTGCTTTTGTTCAATTATTTAATATAAAAATAGCAAATTTATTAGGAATTAAAAGATTATAACATCTTTTATTGATATTTTTATTAAAATGAAGATGTATGTATATACATTTCATCACCACTTTCTCATCTTTTTCTTGCTTCAAATAATATTTCATGAGCTTGTTAACAAGGTAAAAAAACTATGTGAAGTTCTTTCAAATATTCTTGAAGCTCCTACATTGTTTGAATTGAAAAATTGCCATCATATGCCATCCTCTTCTATGTAAAATATTAAGATCATAAGTGTAAAATTGCATATAACTTGCTTCTATACCTTCTTTTGATAAAAAAATATCCATTTGATGTTGAAGTTGTTTAAATATGCAAAAGCTATATAGACCATATCCTTGCAAGATAGTATTATCAACTTTTGTACTAATAAATGTAAATGCAAGTGTAGCATGATAATTTCAAATAGTCTTCCAAAACTCCTTACTTTGTTTATCTTCTTTATCAAGTAATTATCTAATTAATAACAAGAGATCTTCAAAAAGCAAAAGCTCAATCTTTCTATAAAAAAAACTTATATTAAATCATAGTTTTATTTTTATTAATGGCATGGTTTGTTCATCAATCTAATAGAATGCCTTGCAATGTAGGCATTGAACGCCCATATTTCCAATATTATGACAATCTTCAAATCTTTTTCTTTGATTATAATGTTCATGAAGAATTTTCTCTATTTGTTTATTAATTTTTCTTGCTCTATTATCTTCTCTTTCTTCTTCTTTCTATTGTGCTTGTAAGATTGCATCTTCTCATGTCTTTTGCCTTTGTTATGTATTTTCTTGAAGATTCATAGATTGAACAATTTCTCTACTACCTCCATCATTTCTATTATTCATAATATCATGTTCTTCTATCTCTTCTTTATTCCGCTCTCTATATTCTTTAACACATTCAAGTACTCTTTGTCTTAATTTTCCAATTGCACAATGATTGCATATAGGTGCAACATTATTTAAGTCATTTCTATGTCCATGTAAAGCATTTAATCATCTTCTTCCTTGTTCTTCATATGCTTGCACATGTGGCTCAATATGTTCACGTGCTCTTTGTCATTGTTATGTAATAGCTTGACAATTGATAATTGATATGTTGACTATCAAGAGAGCAAAAAAGTCATCTTTTGATAATATCTTTTTAATATTAATAGCTTTTAATATTAATATATTCTGATAATTTTTTTTTTGATAAAAATAATAATTTCTTTTGATAATAACAATATTTTTTGGTAATAAAAATTTATTTTGATAATAATATTACCTTTTGTTCATAATAATTTTTTTGATAAAAATAATAATAGTTGTACTATTGTTATAATTTTTTGAAAGTCACAAAGTAACAAATATATAAAATCCACTTTTAAGTCATTCTTGTTTACATTTGCATTTACATTTGCTAATAAAACCTTCTTAAGATTTTTTCAATTTGAATCACATCAACAGAATAAACAAATATTATTAAAAAAATGATATTTTTAGGCTCTTTAATTATAGATGAGAAAGAATAAAAGGAATATGATTGAATTCTATTTATGAAAAAATGTATTTATTTATAAATAATACCTCGGAAGGTTATATATAATACACTTCTAGGATAGATATGATTATGTTATGCTTTTCCATGACATTGTAGAGGCTTTATAATTAAATGGCATATAATTTTATATAATTTTATGACACCAAAATGACATATTATTTTATGGCACCAAAAAAAAATGGCCTATATCTTATATATGATGATGCACTATATATACACTTTTTATTTCTTTATTTATATATCTCAACTACATGCTACAAATGCACTCATCTACTTACTTCTAGTTTCTGACCACTATGCATCTTCCAACTCTCAATGCTCTATATATCACTAAAATAACAATTTTGACTGTTATGCTGCAAGAGTATCATCACCAATATCAAAGATGACCACACAATGTTCTAGATTTCAGTAATCTTTACAGAATATTAACAATATATCATAGAACAATGTGAAACAATATTGCTACTTATAACCCTACACACAATATATTTATTTGTAGCTAGCAGAATATGAAATCCAAGACTTTTTTAATATCAAAGAAGAAAATATGTACTCATTTAAATGTTAGCAGCAAAAATTCTAATTGATTCTAGCAGGTACACAACTATGCTTTGCTTCCACTCAACAAGCATAGTTGAGGTGACCATGTAAGTGCAAGTAGAGGCTCAAGTTTGGCATGTACTCACACACAATCAAGCATTCTTGGCTTATATCTCTTATATGAGTAATGCTAGCAGACACTGCAGCTGCAAATTGTGACTATTTTGCACTTGCTAATTGTGACTAATCCACTCTTGATAATTGTGACTATTTCGCTCTTGATGAAGTAACCATCTGTCCTCGGGGCTGTCTCTTGCACACCGTCCTTGTTCACAATCTGCATGTGCCACCTCGAATACTTTTTATATTGCTCAATTGAAACCAACCATCGTGCTTGCGATCTAGCAAGAAGTTTTCATGTCTAAAATGCTCCCGTACCTCCAACCTGTACCAAAGAGCGAATGTTCATAATGTGGCTTCTTCATTCCTCCTATTGTTAGGGGCTGACTTGCAGCTTGGCTCATGCAGCGCCTACCTCGTCATGCATTAATGGTTTCTCTTGAGTACATTGACAACGCGTGAGCAACCAACACTATTGCAATACTTTGGTAAAAACCCGGATCTTACATCACAACAAATACCATTATCCGTTTGTACTTGTCACACACAACAAGCTTAACAGACTGCAATTTATTCAATGGGTGAGACATTTTATGAACGTGAGAATCCCATCTCACATCAAGCACACACTGAAAAAGGGCAAGAAACATCGTCCGCTCACATTATAACCACGACATAGTTGCGTTACGCTGTGGCACACCTTCTCAAGCCTGAGCGCAAGCATGGCTATCAGCCCATATAACTCGTGATCGACGAAGTCTTCGCATGTGGCACATGAGGGTCCTGCAGCAGCATGTGGGGGCTTTTTACATTTAACATTCTCTCATATATAATTTGTTCATGTTGATAACTTGCGAGTGAGTGTGGTTCAAGCGAGAAGTTTGTCCCAAAGTGTTTCCTTCAAAGCACACAAAGTCACCTGCCCAAATTATCCAACAAGGCCAAAACACCTAACATGCAAGTGAAACAACCATGAGAAGAAAGACACACAAACAATCACAACCACTGGAGAGAAAGTTCACAACGCAAAGCTATGGTCTATACTCAAAACCTCAAATGGCGTCAAGAGCTCCGGAAGAAGCACACATCACTTGTCAATGCCCATTGTTTTGATGAATGCGATCTGTTCTGATCTACTCTAACAAAGTTGAAACTCGCTTTCATGCTCATGTTAAATCAAACCTCAGCATTGATCAAAATGAAAAATCACAGTTGCGAAAAACGTGAGACCCAATACAAATCAATCAAGAATGCGGCGAGAGATAACGTTTAGTATGCACTTCGATCACCACCCGAACTTTTGCACCAAAAAGTGCGGTATTTGGGTGTCAAGGCTCACGGCCTAACCTCGCATGATAAAAGCCGCACTTTGGAAAGTTTAATCAGATCAAAATGAAGCTATTTTTTTACGAAGTAACATTCAAGAGACTAGACATGGAAAGACTATAAATAGTAAGATTTGAGTTTTTTGTTTTTTTTGTTTTTTTGCATTTCTTACACGTCAAATGTGTGTTAGCTGAGGAATTAGGAGTCGGGTGTATTTCCGTTCGATGCAGACCTTGGAACGAGAACAGTGACCATGCGTCGGTCGGGTAAGATACGAAGAGGTTGCACTTGGAAGGCGCTAGATACGAACGAGTGCCGGTGTTAGCACTTTCAGGTTCAAGAAGAAGCCTTATTTTGTTCTTTTTCAATAGATATGAAGACATCCTTGCAGTGGAACTTCCTTCTCGAAAGCATTTTTAAGCTTTGGAAGCTCCAACTCAACACAGGCATAACAGTGTAGGATGGCTCGCCTCTGATGAGGATCGGAATGAGGATCCACAACGTGGAACACATCAAGTGACCGGCGAAGATGTAACGCTGCGTTGAAACGAAACTCAACGACACCAATAAATCCCAACATAAATAGACGATGTGTGAACGATAAATGGAGATGGACCACACTAGCCGGACGAGCATTCCAATTAGATTGTTTTGCAAAAATAACCTAAAGCGGGCGCCATGTGTGTTTCTCACAGTTGGCATCGGCGCAGTCGGTGTGAAGGAGTCCTTGCTTTTGTGATGTCTGTCTTATCAAAATGGCTCCGAAATTTGACCCAGGATCATGTTCGAAACCTGAGCCATCACCAGCACCAAGCTGTCTGGATCTCCTGGTGAGAGACCATCATGCCTGATAAAGACGCCATGTAGCTTACCATGTCAAATGTGCAATGCAATGCAATGCAAAAAAAACGAAACAAATCAACACCTATTACTTCACTAGATTTGATGGTTGTAGCAAAGTATGGAAACTCGTATTGGAAAATTGCTCTGACTTGGATTAATGATTCTGGCTGCAGAGCGCCCACCTGTGTGTGTGCAAGACATGCACATGTGGAACACACAAGTGCGTACCTGCATTGACCTCCAAGTTTCAGCCGCTTGACATCAAACCCACGGATATTCGCATGCATGGTATCACAGAGTACATTGACAAATACCATGAAATTAAATCTGGCTCTGACCGGAATGTCAAAGATAATGCTTCTCTTCTTGGGTGCTACCCTCTAGGTTTGGCGCACAGTGGGTATGTACGAGCACCAGTGCTTTTTCTGCTGTATATATTCCATTAGCAGCTCTTAGTGTACTTGAAAATCACATTCCTAATCCTATCAAGAATTTGTCTGATTAGTTCTAGTACTCTTGTTGTGTTCTAAGTTTTGTCGATCACATCAGAATAGACCTGTGAACACTGAGTTCGCCGAAAAGTTTGAGAAGAAGCCCATATTCCCCGCAAAGCTGTGGGTTCCCAAGACATCACAGAAGGTGGGGCCAACGTTCTCCGGTCAGACAGTTTACGGTGCTTCCTACAAGAAATGGGCATCTGAACCTCGATATGCATTCAAACCACCTGGGTTCATTCCGAACACGGAACAATTTGATGACAGAACTACTTATGGTACTCACTTCAAAGACCGGTCGAAGCCCGAGAAGCCACGACGGAAGTTAGAGCACTGGCCACACAACTACACTCCTTGTGAAGTTTGTCATCCAATAGTATCTGGTGCCTTCAAGACGAAAGAGGAGGATATCAGAGTAGTGAACACAAAAGGAGCTCACCTTGATGGTAGAACAACATATAATCACTTCCACTACAATCCAGGGAAGTCACAAGTCACCAGAAGTATGAAGCTCACACGTTGGGGACCAAAAGTGGAGCCTTTAGACGGGAGCACAACTTACTCGGCAATGTTTCGACGACCTCCAAACAAGGATAAGATCTTGTGCCCAGTCATGATGCGGCCCATGCCAACAAACAGTCAATAATCACCAATGCTATCCGTAGCAACAAAATTCTTCACAACCCTAAAGCTGATACTGAGTATAGGAATTAGAAAATAGGGGTGGGTTGCTACATTAACTACAAATTTGAGTGAGTTTGTAAGCATTGACGAGAATCAAGCTCCTGGCTGGATTTCGAGACATGAAAATTCAATTATTCAAAGTAATTTTAGTCAGTGCATCTTCACATGTCCACGCAACGACCCCAAATGCCAAATGTCGACGAGGAACCTATCGTTGGCTTTGGGGACTTCTTGGTGATGGAAGTTCACCGAGTAGGCATAATTGTAGATGCGGCAGTCACAAACTCGGATTATGCAGACTTACATTGATAAGTTAATTTTCCCCACAAAAACAATGTCCAGGAGAGAATCAGTACTAACAAAACATTGGTTCGTTGCTACAGTTACACCTAGAACTATGGACGCATTCAGCAGCCAACAAAAAAATTGCAAATTTCATGCACACGTTTGCGTGATTTTGAATCAGAGAAGATCTTTATTAAGGTGCTTGGATTACAAGTCATTATAAAAAATGAGTCACACGTCCTCCGATGCTCAGTGCAACCATATTCTGAACAGTGCTTCGTCTCACATTCGGCTCGGAAGAGAAAGGACATCAGTCATGAGCCAATTAGCGTGAGTTAAATCCATTCCTATGCCACCACCATTAAATAGATAATGGTAAGCAACCAGATAACAAATTTTACATTAATTTTACTCGGTGAGAGCTGACTTTAACTCTCCAGAAGCTTTCATTTCTAAGATAATATCGCAGCCACCGAGAAGCTCGCCCTTGTAATACAACTGTGGGTACGTAGGCCAGTTTGAGTATGTCTTAAGTCCCTGACGAACCTCTTCGTCCTCCAAAATGTTAAAGCTGCCAAATTCAATTCCTTCTTCTTTCAACGCGTTGACAACTTTTGTGCTAAAGCCACAACGTGGAGCATCTGGCGTTCCTTTCATGAACAGCATAGTAGCGGATTGGTTGATGACATTCTTCAGTCGAGTCTCCAAAGTCTCTTTTGGTAGTAGCCCCTTCTCAGCAAAAACCTGGCGAGTACAAACCTCACCATCACGGAAAATGCACCGCAAATACATATTCAACTTCTTCCTGCTCTCAAAAAGATTTGACCAACTACAAAGTTCATTCACTAAAACCTACCCAAAATCAGGTTTGAATTAAGCGACGGGGATTATAACTAAAATTTTACTACAGGAATTATAATTGAACATGAAATAAAAACTGTGCGAAAGCGACGAATGGAATATGCTCATAGCATGCGTGGAAATGAACACCACTGACCTCTTTGAGCTCGCCGTTCTCATTCATCTCCAAAATTATATCACATCCACCCAGAAGCTCGCCCTCAACGTAGAGCTGGGGAAATGTGGGCCAATTAGCGTATGTCTTCATACCCTGCCTCACCGTCTCATCGCTCAAGATGTCAAAGCTGCCAAACTCCACGCCCTGGTCATTCAAAACATTGACCACCTTGCGGCTGAAACCGCAGCGGGGTTCCTCTGGTGATCCTTTCATGAAAAGCATGACTTTCTTCGAATTCACAAGTTCATGAAGCCTACCCTTCTCGGCTTCGGCGAGGTTAGCTTTGGTTTCGCCCTGACTTGAAACAGCAGGGCCTACAACAGCTACGCCAGCAGAGGGGACCTCTTTTTTCACCTCATTGAACGGAGCAGGTGTATCCTTTACCCACTTGGCTACTTTACTGGCCAGTTCAGGAGCATTCGCACCTTGCATTTTGTCAACTACCACTCCATCCTGAGCAAACACAAAATCATTTGCTGCATCATGAGAAACACGACATAGACAATTCAATTCAATTTGCATCCCACATCTCAAGACAGAGAAACAGAGAGAAGTTTTCAAGTGATTCAAGCGCCAAGACGCTGCAATACCTTAATCCAAATGAACAGCGGCACTGCATCAACCTCATAAGTCTCAGATATATCGGACTGTTCCTCAGCCTCCACCTGGTTGGAAGACGTCACGACCCATCCATTATTCACAATCCGCATTAACACACTTGCACATGTCAATGCAAGAGGACCCATGGTAGTCCTGCTCCGATCGAGCCCACTTCGACATAGGGCAGAAGACTTCACCAGCCATTGAAAATACTGAGTTACAAGCAATGAAAGCGTAGTGAAAAAACAAATGGGCGGCAGAACCACGTACACGGAAAAATTGGGCATTAGGTGTTTCGATAGCGATCTGAGTAAAAACGGGCTCCATAGCCTTAGACGGTTCACACCAGGAAGCCCAAAAGTGCACTACAACCAGACTGCCTTGTTTCTTCACTGCATTGTCCAAATCTCCCTTGGAATTCGCATCCCTTACAACTCCGGCCATCTCCGCTACTCCCATCTCGACGCAAAAGCTACACTAAAACCTTCAAATATCAGGAAAAGAGTTTCACAAATACCTTACAGCAAATTAACCCTAGAGACACCCATTGCACAACTCACACACCCAAAAGAACCCCAGAAGAAGTTCTATCGAACACAAAAGACAATCCAATCAACCACGCAATAACTAACAGAGCATCACAAATCCGACCACAACCAAGAAGAAACTCAAAAACTCCAACCCCATCCTCCCGATCGTATCAAACTCAGCTCCACAGAAACCACGTCTCAGAAACTTATTCTCTCCCTTAAACCCTTAAAACCTCCTCCCAACCTCTCAATCTCCAACACCCAATCCCAGAACCAGCAACACCCAACAACCCAACTTCGTAATATCGTCACCAAAATGTCACTCACCACGAACAGCACGTAAACAATCACGAAGCGAAAGCCACGAGACGGCTGAAGTGATGAATGGCCCGGCAACACTCCACAGCGATGGCGTGGCTGCAAGCAAGCAGGCAGGAGCGAAAAAAAAAGAAAGAAAAAAAAAAAAGCAAGTGAATACAAAGGGGCTGCATGGGAAAGGGGGATTTGGAACATTACAGTTATTCGTTTCAACTTGAGTGCCTTCTCATGCAGCTTCCCCTGCCCATTCCCTTGTTGCTGCTGTTGCTGTGTTTTTCTACGAACATATATATATATATATATATATACATATTTATTTTTAATTTTTAATTTTTTGTGTTGTGTGTGTGTTAGTATTCCAGTCATTCTCTTACGCTGCATTCATGTGTTGGTGCCTGCCTATCTTTATAATTGTAGACGTACAAGTAGTCATGTGGTGGTGGAGATTATGTTGCAAGGAGTGTAATGTTGTTGGTCTTTCTTTGATGAGTTTTTTTATTTTTTTATTTTTTTAAACCCAACTTCAAGTTCAATGGAGGATGCACTGTATGACATCTGTTATTGAAGTACAGCTTTCAATACAAGGTCTACGAAGAACTTATTGCATGCAACAGTTTTTGTTTTTGTTTTGTTTTTTTAATTTTTAATTGCTTGTGTTTAGGTTGTTGACAAACTCATGCTCAATTTGTGTGACAATGTTTGCAAATGTGGGTTGTTTTCCATGTGTGGTTTGAAATTGATGCATGCAAAAAGAAAATAATATTATTTCAATAGCAACTATTAAATGAAGTTCACAAGTTTTGATGGCACATGTCATAATATAGAGCCAAATTTTTAAATGAGCAAGTTCTTTGGAACATAAAGATGTTTGTGGACTATTTTTTAAGAGAATCTTATTTAATTTGAAAATATATAGACCAAACAGAGGATAGATTCATTAATTTTAAATTTTCGAAGATGATCAGCTAGGTTTTAGCATAGAATTTGTATTTTGTATAAAATAAAAGAATACAATTAATGCTTCACATTTTTTGGTAGACTAGAAATGTCCAATAAATACTTGCATTTCAACTTATTGAATTAGTGCAAATATTATATATGATTTTTTCTTTTATGCTTCCCAATTTTATTTATTTATTTATTTATTTATTGTGTCCCTTTTTATTTCAATATCATGTACTGTCTTTTTACTTTTTCTTTTTACTTTTTTTTTTTCCCCTTCGTTTTATTTATCCTATCCATTCATATGATGTCATTGGATCATATTGGAGACGGATTTACCAAATTCTCAGAGTTGTTATTTCTATTATAATTACCTGTCTAATTTTTATGCACTTGACATTGATAATTTATGCACATAATACAAAAATTCTGCATCCCTCACCTCCAAAAATAAAATAGCATTTTATTTTTATTTTTATAATAATCCTCTATACATCTTGAACCACTTTTTCTCATACATTCAGCATATTTTTAGTAAAATATTTTGCCTCTTACATTTAACTTTTTACATTCTATACCAAAAATTGTCTCGCAAATAATAAGATCATGTCAATTTAAATGAACTGCTTGTAAAACTCTACACTCTTTTCATCTCCCCCTCCCCCTTCTTTCTCACTTTCCAATATCTTGTGTGTATCCTCTTTTTACAATACTTTTGGAGCTGATTTTATAAAGCCTCTACTTTGCCATTGTTATCATGTTTGTTGTTTCCACCAATGTTTCAACATACAAGCCTTTGTTGGTTGGTTAAACAATCAAATCAAATGTTGGGTGCCAACTAGGATATTCTTGTCATGCTTTAGAGAGTTACAACAAACATATATTATTTGTTGTGCTAGGATTATTTGCTGTGCTAGACTTTGAGCACCACCTGATGTTGACAATTAATACTTGATACTTCCAACTAAAGTTGTAGAAAATTCCAAGATATGAACCCCCCTTGTGTGCAAACCGCTGGAGACACACTTAAAAGCAACTTTGAGAAACTCAAAGTTTCATCAAATTTTGGAAAAATATAATCAAGTAGATTCAAGTTTCGATAAATTGCAGAGCGTTGCTAATCCAACACTAAAGACTTCTGAAGAGATTACAACCGATGCAGATTTGCTGGACTTGAAACTCATTTTACTCTAGACTCTTTCTCTCAGAGTAAAAGCTTTGCAGCACACTGTACATGGAAGCTTTGATTCCACCCTAGGGATTTAATTTATTCAGTTTCTTGCACCCACTTAATTCATCCCTTATTCATTGTAATTCATGACGTTATTTTTCTGAAATTTTTTGTGACCCTAAGACTCCCAACTCAAGTATGAGTTAGACTCTACCCGATTTGGAACATCTCAATACGTTGAAGCAATCACTTCTCTAACAGGGATTACGTAGCAGAAATGTCCAGTATCTATAATGAGATTCACTTTCAGCACTGCAATATCATGGTTTTATTTTCATCAAATGCCTGAATTTCCAATACCAGAAAAAAGAAACGTCTGAAAATCCCTGTGTGCTTTCTACTATCCTAGGTGCAGCAACTATTAGACTTCGCATATTAAGATCAATACACTGAGCTTGCGTCTAATAATCTCACCGACTTGCACAAATATCAGAGATTGAAATGCCTCAAGAAAGACCAAACTTCCGGAGAACAAGGTATGGGCTAGCAAAGTTTCAAAATGAAGTTTTTTCTATGGAAAGTAGACCGCGTGGCATGAAAATCTATACAGCGTGATCTGTCCACCAGTGCTATCTGTGAATGATCAACAATACTGGTTGCAGCTTCGATAACACGTATGAACTTTCGGTCTCGGACTGTAAACAATTGCTTTTAGAAGAAAGCACGACACACACAAATAAAAACCAATAAGTTCATCAGTATGCCGTCAAATTGGCAAAGGTTAACAGCACAACTACTAGTTCCAGTATTTCCCTTAAAGATAGGTTAAAATTAATATCTGGATTCTCTGTACATGGCCGGCTATCCATACATCGCACCGCAAACTCTTTACCTAGTAGCTTAAACCTACCCTCCCTGCAACTAGCTTACAGGAGCTCCTTGTTGCCAACTTCATGCTGTTTCTTTTGCAATAAAATCCTGACAACTAAGTCTGATTTCATAAAAGATCATGCAAAATGGGATTTTTAGAAGAATCTTCCACAAGTACTGCCGGGGATTAATCTTCTAAACCTGCTCGGTCTCTAAACCTAGTACGTTTTGCAGGAGACAGAAGTGGCTACGACCGCAAGCTTCAGTAGTTGTAGTACCGTCCAGGCCTGAACTCGTTGTCGTATGACCGGCCGCCGTATGGGGCTACGTAAGGAGGAACGTAGCCGGAGCGGCCTTCGTAAGCATACATATCATCGTAAGCTGTGGTTCTGGTTCGATCCACGGGTGTTGTGTAAGCTGGCTGCAGGACTGCTGTTGGGGGCGCTTCCGCGATATTTATGATGTGGGCAGTGCTCATCACTCTCCGCACAAGGTTCACGACTGTGCGAGGAGAAAGGCTAGATGAGACCGTGATTGTTTGCGCTGGGATATCGCACACCACATTGAAAACCCCTACACGTAAAGTATGATGATGAATCTCAAACAGAGTACTTTGACATGTATGATATACAAGACTACGTTTTAAAATTGATGAAGAATTGAAATAGACTAGCGCTGAGTTGAATACCTTCCACGCCAAGGACATCCTTAATTCTGGAAACGTCCACTAAGTCGTACAAGGGCGCCCTGATTATCACATCCTGTTTGGCAAGAGATGACAAATTGCATCGAGAGTTGTCAGATTTTCATTTCATGTAGCTTTCTAAACGATTCCTTATACTCCGTCACCTCGGTTTAGATTGGGATCGTTAAGAAGACCGTATGCGTCGAGACATCATTCGATATGCTCAGCAAATTACAACAGTTTTGCAGAGGATGAAGACTACTGACCAGACGGTGATATAAATTGTAACTCACGATCGGGGTTTCCTAATCATGCAAATCTAGAAATCGCAACAGCAAGCCCACGTTCTCGATCAACATGGCTATTTACACCTTATATTTAAGTTACTACGTTCGCCTGGCACGGGCAATTGGGCACAGCAACAGTTTCATTACGGTCTTCCAAAAAACACTGTAGAGTCATAAGAGAATATATATCAGCCTAGTTTTCACCGAAGACTCCCAAAACTAAATCTCAAAATTACTTCGATCACTCGAATTGCTATGGTGGACGTGTGTTACACGAAGGAAGTTTACCGGCAAGACTGTTCCGCGCGTGTATGGGCCGAACTCATACGCGCCGCTACTCGACGTTGGAGTGTGCTGGTAGGGGGTCCCCAAAAGTCGGTGTCGATTATTGGTCACCCAGACTGGTTCCGGCTTGCCATAGTAGAGCTGTACACATTTAATTGACAATGTGATTTGTCAGAACACAAAGTTGTCGCACGTCAACACTCTCCGTCCTCTACCTGCTCCTTCTAAAATCAATGAATCTGCTTATCTAAATTAAGTAGAATGAAATCAGGAACTAGTGTAAAGGTTTCATCGACAACTGTATTGCAGTGCATGCGAAAACACTGATTCCAGCTTCTGGGTCTCTTAAATTGCATCCCTTTACAGACGAGCTTTACCATGTGCTACTATCTGGAATCAAAACAAGAAGAAAATCTCCTTGGCCTCTTGACAACGAAATAGCCTATTAGGTCAGACCCAAAAACCACTATCCACAGTACAATCGACTATAGCTTTATCTACATCCAACCCCTCATGGCAATATTCATGAGATGAACAATAGCTTCACAATAGTACCCAGCATTTCAACATGCAGGAATTGTAAACTCGAAACTTCTTACCGGATCGACTAAAGTCCTCGACATCTTTTCAGTTGATCACCTTCAGCGGATCACCTAAGCAGATTACAGGTAGCTTTTGAGCACGCGTGAAGCCCGCTTGTCACGTAGCACTTGTTCGACCAAGCCCTGTTCACTCAAACTTGAACTATCAGCCTAAGACTCAACCCACTTTGAACTCAATACCCAGCCGACGTTCAACTATTTAAAAAAATCCCACCAAATCATCACAACTCATACTCGTTCTGTACGTAATGAAACGCTTGCCAGCACTCAACGCAAAACCAAAAAAATTAAACACAGAACAAATTCCCCAGTTGCACAAGGCCAGAAGATGGATGAACAACGTATTAGCACTTGCTGGCTTCACAATTCAGGAATTAGTGCATGAGCTCATGACATAATAAAGAGCGGTTTCAAAGCAGAAATCATTTATGTATGAACTTCACACTGATATAAGAAACGAATGCGAAGGGCGAGAAAACTTGCAAGGTGCCGGTTACGCGTTCCTCCTATTGTGCGAAAACCAGGATGATACTGCAAAGATCGGTACTGTGGCGATGATGAAGATGGGGGTCCCAAGGGGCAAACCAAGACTCATTCAAAGCTTTTATTCCATAAGACTTCACGCAGCGTGCCTGTAGTAGAGGGGCGGCTGGACCCCAAGCCCACCATGGCTATAGCCCTGTTTGCGTGTCCTTGACCGGCGACTTGGATGGGCTCCTCTCACGGGCCGGCTTCAAATTTCATGACCCTCTTCTGCAAATCCATGACCGCCACCGCTACAACACACAAGAATCCCTTCTCCCAGAAAAATTGCTGTATTTCCTTCTACGCTGCACCATTTCGCAAACCAAGACGCGGTACCGATGATGTTACCACGTGAATCAATCGAAGCCAGAGCAATGAACATGGCAAAGTGGGTGTCTAACGTGTCAAGCTCATGGACACATATTATGCCCCTGGATCTGTCGCCCATCGAGACAACTTTCCTCGTCTTTTGTCAACACACTACTTGAGCATGTGACCTATGAATATATACACAATTGTTTATACCTCGATGCTTCTTCTTCTTCTCCTGCATCGAGGTTTCTCCGTCTTGCGGTGCGCTACTGCAGGATCTGTCTGGCCCATGCTCTCTCACTCTCTCTTTCACTCACTCTGCTTGCTCACTCACTCTACTTGCTCATTCTGCATTGCTTCCTCCTTTGCCATGCTCTCTCTCTCTCTCTCTCTCTCTCTCACTCTCTCACTCTGCAATTCCCCGCACCAACTAAACCTCCGCTCTGCAGATTTCTTCTTCACTGCATCTGAGTTGTGGATATGAGTTTTGTGTGTTTTAGTGCAAGGCCATGTTGTACATGAGTTGATAATAAAAAATAAATAAAAAAAATAAAAAAACCACTGTTTTGCGCTGTCATGGAATTGATGGGAGAGTTAAATCAGGTTTGTGTAGCTGTTGATTAGAGTTTGTTGCGGGGTGAGAAACACAAGTGAAAACTGTCGAGGAGTGAGGTTTAGTTTGGTTTAGTTTTACTGGGAGTTTTGTTGACAGTTTTTTTTTTTTTTTTTTTTTTTTTTTTTTTTCCTTTCTTTTCTTTTGTTGATAAAGGAGCAACGTTTGTTTGCTGATTAGGTTGCGAGGATGTGTGTTTGAGGTCGGAGATAATCGTTGACATGTTCGGAAAGAAAGGAGGGTTATTGAGTGGATTGGTTTGAGGTGTGAGTTGTGTAATGAGAAATGTGAAATTAAGTGAAGGAATTGTTGGTTGATTTAGCAAGATGAAAAAAAAATTGGTTTTCGTGGTTACGATGCTTGGACGAAGTGATGAAATTATCTCATCTTTACTTCTTTTTAAAATTTATTATTTTTTAAAATTATATATATATATATATACACACAAATAAATACACACACATACATACATTATATTTTGTTCTTTAGGAATATCATGAGCCTTGCAATATTTTTTTGTGTTTATTTTTAAAAATATTTTTATTATTTTTAGTAAATATAAATAAATGCATAAAATATTTTATTTTATTTTATTTTAGTCCTTTTTGCACTTATATTGGATTTTCATACTGTGATTTTATTTATTTGATACAGTGATTGTATTTATTTAATATCTGTAATAACTTTTAAGGATATCATCCTTCCATTGTCACTTATCAAACTTTTATTTTTAAAATCCTACATAACACATTTAAATACATTTTTGTAGTTTATAAGTAATAATTAAACTAGTGATGGATTATAAATTAACATCAATTTATTAAAAATTTATCAAAATATTTGATTTTTTTAAAGATGCTCATTTACATAAGCAGCTAATGTATTATTATTATGATGTGAAATAATTTGCAATTCAACATTCAAGATGTCTACTAAAAAAAATATCTTCAATTATAAAAAAATCCAATTAATTTTTTTTATAGGAGAATACTAAATTGACCCAAAAAAAATCTTTAATTGATCCACATACCTCTTACCATCTTGTACCACAAAACAATCTTCTTAGTAATATTTAAGCAAGTTCTTCAAGCAACAAGACATGTAGCAACATAACAATGCAAATAAAACAAGCATTTATTTGATTTGTTTAGTAATTAAAAATTGTATCAAAAAAAATAAAAATATATATTGAATAAAGAATAAAATAATTGTGACTCATATATATATATATATATATATATATATATTGTTCATTATGCAATGATATTATACTATCAAAAAATAGAAAAAATAGAAAGTTGGTACTAAGAAGTTGGTGGTTCAAATCTTACTTACAAAATTTCTAACCTTGTATAATAGATGCTAGCAAGGAGATAACAACTCTTTTATATTTCTATAGAAAAAAAATTAAAAACTAAAAATAATTGTATATGCTATAATTTTTAACTTTCATGTATTTACAATGGTCATTGAATCTTTTAGTTTCATGTTGAAAACATAATAGATTAAGAGGCATAATTTAAACAAATATTTGACACTTTGACATTTGAATTTTTTTTAAATTTGTGAATTTTTTTTTACTAATTTTAATCATTAATTTTTTTTTACTAATTTTAATCATTAATTTTTTTTAATAAATGATTTGTTGCAATAAAAGAATTATTGGAAGAAGTATTCTTAACTCTATAGTAAATAGGAAAACATACTTGTGCTTTTATTTATTGTAATTTATAATTTCCAAATAAAACTCTTTAAATCACAATATATTTATTGAGATCTCTCAAGGAGACAAGTGGTGGCTTTCATTCATCGCATGGATGGGCCTTTGTTTTCATCAAAAAGCTCTATTGGTGACAGCATTGGAGCAGCAAGAAAGAAATCAAGCAGAACAAAAGTATATATGTGTGTATATATATATATATATATATATATATTTAAATTTATTTAACTTATATTTTAAATTAATGATAAAATCACTCTTATAAATTTGCTTATTATAATATTAAAATAATTAGTATTATGCTGTTTGATTGATTTATTTGTGTTTTGTCCATTTAAAAAGCTTGCATTTCCTACACCATGACTTGATTTCTCATTCACCTAAATATTTTAAATATAATTTGTCTATTTTCACTTATTGTCTCTACTAACAACAACAATAATACTCAAGATAACATTATGTCAAAAGTTGGATATAATTTTATTAATTAATATTTTTTTAAGTCATCAATAATAATATTATTTATTGATAATATATAAATAAATAAAATTAACTTATTTTGCATGTGCAATTAATTGTATGTTAAGCTCATAACCTGATTTGTAAAAGATAAATTATCTTCCATAACATTTCTTTTGCCTAGTTTTTTTTTTTTTTTTTTTTTTAGACTTTGTTCTTATATTAATATAGAATTAATTTTGATAAACTTAAATGCAATTTTTTTTTGCTAAATTGGAATTCTTAGGAAGCTGAAATTCTTAAGAAGCTAAGATCTTGATACCAAAAATAAAATTATTTAGAAATTTAACACAAAAATCCATGACAACGACAAGGATTCAACTAGCATGTTAGAGTACTATAAAGAGATTCTATTCTCATTTAATCAAGTGAGTGTAGTTGATGGCACAAACTCTTATTTTTCCTTTCTACCAATATTTTTTATTTTTTTTCATATATTATGTGCCACAACAAAGGAGTAACTTGTAGCTTTCTTCATCTAAAAATTGGCAATGTCAATGCCCATTTCAAACAATGTGAAATACTTTTTCATAGATAAAATTTATGATTTAATGAGTATATCTATCACAAACATACATATTTATTCCAATAATTACCTAGATGATTAATTAGAAATAAATGAAAATAGATTTATTTTATAATATCTTTTAAAAAAACTTCTTAAAAGCTTCTTAGAAGCTTCATAGACATTGTATTGACTTTACACATGTTTGTAGTTAATTGGTAGGTTAGAAACTTGATCAACAACAAGTTATCTACGTATTATATATATTGGTTGCTTATAGAATAAATTAACTATATGGTGCACATATAAAAAAAATGCCTTGCAAGTTAAGACATGTGTCTAGCAAAGTCAACATGTGTTGGAGGTCATATAACATATTGCCATATAGCTTCTAATTACATAGTATACATAGAAATAAGACTAAAGCCTTCTTCATTCTTATCAATGCCTTTTTAATCTTTATTCTTATTTCAAGTCTTTTTAGTTTTTTTGTCTTTAAAAATAGCCATTTTAGTTCAATATATTACCATCTTTGAATAATTTCCTACTCTTTTTGAGTCATACAAGAATGTATTGAGGTTTTATTTTTTTAAGATTCATGTCTTTGATAATTTGACAAGAGTGCTAACTTAATGTTCTTGTTTGTTTTAGAAGTGAGTGGATTATCCCACTTCTATTGTTGTGTTTTGAAGGTTGCAGAGTATCCATCTTTAAACAAATAGTTTAATTTTCTAATATTGATTTTCTTTTTAAAGAGATAAGATTATCCTTCTTTGTAAAAATTTTCATTTGATATTAGTAGTTGTGGATTATCCTCCTCTAATTTAACTTTTTGAATTTGTTTGATTTGTTTATAGAAGGAAAGATTATAGATGCTATTCTCACCAAAAATAAAAATATATTTGTAACTATTGTAAATCTTCATAAGCTTGTCAATACTCTAAGAATAGAAATTTTATATATTTCTAACATGAATTATGGAGGTACTATTCTTATACATATCAAAATAGTTTAGAGTCTATGTTAAGAAATTGTAAAGTTGAAGGAAGCAAATAGATCAATTTTACAACCAAATTTAAGAAGTCTTGCTTTTACAAGTATAAAGGAGACAAGGATTAGTATGCCCAAAAAGCTTAATGAAACAAGATCAAAATTTTTAGGATTTTTACAACAAATTAAGCTCTATTTAAGGTTGCATCTTTTCTAATATTTCAATAGATTCACTCAAGTTGAATTTATATTTGCACTTCTATTGAAAAGTGCTCTCTTATCATTTGTATCTTTGAT